TTATCTTTTTTGTCTTGTTTTAGAGACTATGTGGCCTAATATTGGATCTCCTCTTGACATTTATCTGATTAGATATGAAATTGACATTTGTTTCATCTGTTTAAGGGCCGAGTGTTAGAAAATATTTCTAAAAGGTGTGGTGGGTTCCTGAGACAATTAAGTCAAAGAAATTGTCTTGGGGTTGGAGATTCTCTTACTTACTTTGAAGTAAGCAGCATTCTAAAGTATTCATACATGTTTTTGATTTAGTAGATAAGGAAAGATCTGCTATTGTTCATCAGTGTTGTTGAGGCAATGAAGAATACATTGTCTGGAGGATTCCTTGTATTAATTTTGCCACAACAAATACATATTGCAACACAGAACTACTGCTGATATTTTTTGACAAATGTTAATAACAATAGGATAAACCAGTCCTAGCCATATATTAATGTATTGCAATCCTGCAAGTCTTCTAATAGTCCTGGAAGGTGTTGAAATATTTTTTTGCAGTTATAGCATTGTCACTGGAAAAAGAAATAAGGCTGTCCAGTGTCTTGACGTGCAATATAGGGACATCAAAGCAGCAAGCTTCAGAACTTACAAAAAGTGGATTTATAGATTGCTGCTGTAAGCCAAATTATTTCAATTCAACATATGCATCATTTAACAAATTAAAAGTTTTTATTAACTTGACTTTAACTGCTTGTGGATATCAGGAGAACAAAAGTGTACCAACTGTCCTCTTTTGACTGATTAATATTAATTAAAAGAATATATATGATACTGAGCTACAGATAATAAAACAGGATATGAGTTTAACAGACTCAGAAGATCTTTTTTAAGAACAGTAATGTATATTTGATGATTTGTAATTACTGAATGGAAATGTCTGAGGGGAGAGAGTATGACTAAATCAAACCTTAATCTTTTTAATTGGATTATTTGGCTTCTTGCAGAACCTTTGCACAGAACTATAGTAACATTGAATATTTGACCCTCAATGGATACACACAAATTATGGATAGGTAAGCAGATAACATTTGATATCTGCATATAGAAGTAATGAACCAAATAGACATTTAGTGCTCTTCTTTTTTTACAGCACATTTTACAGCCTTAGTAAATTCTGTCCCAGGCTACAACAACTGGATCTAACATTTTGTGTGTCTATCACAAACAATTCTTTGAGGAGTCTAAGGTAAAAAGATTTCTTGTTTGTTCAGCTCAGACTTAAACTATTGATTTGGTATCTTAATACTGAATGTTGGCTCACCAAATACCAGTACTACTAATGTGTAAATCATGGGTGATTTTCTCATGGCTTTTCTAAAAGGACTGGTAGTTATTTATAGTAAGATGATTATTACAATATTACTTGTGCACTTAATGTCTTGTTTTCTTAATTTTATATAGTGAGGGATGTGAAAACCTGAAATTCTTGAACCTTTCCTAGTGTGATCAAATTTCGAAAGATGTTGTTGAAGTATTGGTGAAAGGCTGTAATGGACTAAAGGCACTGTTGCCTAGAGGATTTACACGGATACATATTTTTTTAGATTTCAAGTTAAGTCTGTAAAAACTAGTTTTGTATTGAAATATTCAGTAAAATTTAATGTAATTATTACCTGCAGTGATCCATTTATTTTACCTGATAATTCTGTAATGCCATACTGCTAGAATTCTAATGCTACAGCTAGTAGATGAAGCTCTTCATCACATTGAAATGCACTGCCATGAACTTGTTACCTTAAACCTACAGTCATGTACCATAAGTATTTCTTTTTAATAAACATTTAATTCTTAAATAATTCTGATGGAAAGATTAAATGTATTTGGCTAAATCTGCAATTTTTGAACTGGGAAAAAAGTATTCTCGAAATTCTCAGTGTCCCCATTGGCCAAAACCCCTGCTTATTCCTGTGTAAGATCAATAATAATGAAGGTATTATAGTAGAGGTTGTAATCTGAAAGACCAGACACCTCTCCAATGTCTGGAGGGAAACAAAGAGAAACAGGGAGGAAGTGATAAGTAAGAACCATTTTTTTTCAGATATGAATAATTTCTACTACCCAGTTTGAATGAAGAATAATTTAGGGGAGAGGAGGAGCAGAATAGAGCTGGTCTCCAGCCAGTAGACTGATTTCACTCTATTAAATATGTAATGGAGTGATTCTGAAGAGGAGAAATAGATGGAAGAAAATACTTCTCCTTTCTGTACCTCCTTTTCTTCTAAACATATCATGTTAGGATTTCCTTTTTGCATGTTTCTGTGAATTGTGCAATAACAACATCACTGTCTACCTCTTAATCACAGCAAAGGTAATTTTTGTTTTCATTGAAAACAAAACTTCAGTACAAGGCACAAATGTTGGTATGATCAACATATTAGTGAATTCTGAGTGATTTCCTTTTTTGTGAATGTAGGAATCTCTTTTTCGTTTTTGAGATTTCATAATGTTTCCTGGATTTTATCTTATCTTTCTGATCAATCCATCACAGTTCCCAGTCTGATGTCCTTGAGATGAATTGAACTAAAACTCCCATTGGCTAGGCTAGCTGGAAATGAGGGAAATTGTAAGTCAGTATGTATGAGGAAATTAGATTGGAGGTTTTTATAGGCCAAACTTTTTTGTTACATGAATGTCTATGATGATGATCTGTACTAGCTGGCTATGGGTTGCTAGTTATCCTTGCTAGTTATCCTAATTATCCTTCCTCTGGTCATATATTTACAATTGTTTGTTTACAAATTGACGTATGGAATGTATGCAGTCAATGAAATGATCAGTGATGAAAGCAGATCCATATTTAAAGAAGTCATGCCATGTTAGGAAATATCTGACAAAAATTAGTGCTGTGTTTGAACTGTTTTCCAGATGACTAAATAGAATGATAAAGTGACTATGTTCAGAGGTCACAACA